AGGTTGATGCTGGGGGATTTAATGCCATCACTTGGGGCAGAAGCAGGGAGATTTAATCCTATCACTCAGGACAGTGGCAGGGGGATTTAATCCCATCCCTTGGGGACAGAGGCAGCAGGATTTAATCCCAGCACTGGGAGGCAGAGGAAGGGGCATTTAATTCTGGCACCTGGGGAGGCTAATGTAGTGGGATTTAATCCCAACACTGGGATCGAGGCATAGAGGGATTTAATCCCATGGCTGGTAGGCAGAGGCAGGGAGATTTAATCCAAGCACTGGGAGGTAGAAGCTCGAGGATTTAATTCCAGCAGTCAGAGACAGAGGACAGAGTATTTATTTTCACCACTTTGGAGGCTGATGCAGGGTGATATATTCCCCGCACTGGGAGGCAGAGGCAGGGGAATTAAATCCTATCACTTTGGGGCACAGGCAGGGGGATTTAATCCCTGCACTAGGAGGCAGAGGCAGCGGGATCTCATCTCAGTACTGGAAGGGAGAGACAGGTGGTTTTAATTCCAACAGTCAGAGCCTGCAATAGGGTTATTTAATCCCAGCACTTGGCGGAAGATTCAGGGGTCTTTAATCTGAGCACTGAGAGGCTGAGCCATTGTGGTTTAATCCTGTCACTCCGGGGCAGAAACAGAGGGATTTGATCCCAGTACTGGGTGGCAGTTGTGGGGGGAATTAATCCTAGTATTTTGAGGCAGAAGCAGGGGTTTTTTTCACAGCACTGGGAGGCAGCCCAGTGAAATTTAATTTCAGCACTCGGAAGCAGACCCGGGTGATTTAATTTGAGCACTTGGGAGGCGATGCAGGGGGATTTAATCACAGCACTGGGAGGCAGATGCAGGGGGATTTAATCCCAGCACTGGGGGGGGGGGTGGAGGCAGGAAAATTTCTTCCCAGCACTGGGAGTTAGAGGCAAGGAATTTAATCAGAGCCCTGGGAGGAGAGGAAGCTGGATTTAATTCAATCCCTTGGGAGACTAATGCAGGGGAATTTAATCCATCACTTGGGGACAGAGGCAGAGGGATTTAATCCCATTACTGGTAGGCAGATGTGGGGGGAATTAATCCTAGTACTTTCGAGGCAGAGATAGGGGGTTTTATTCACAGAACTGGGAGGCAGCCCAGGGAAATTTAATTCCAGCACTGGAGGCAGAGCCAGCCGGTGGATTTAATTTCAGCACTTGGTAGACTAATGCAGGGGGATTTAATCCCAGCACTGGGAGGCTGAGGTAGGGGGATTTAATCCCAGCTCTGGGGAGGGGGCAGAGGCAGGAAAATTTCTTCCCAGCACTGGGAGTAAGAGGCAAGGGAATTTAATAAGAGCACTCAGAAGGAAAGGACGTGGGGTTTAATTCAAGCCCTTGGGAGACTAATGCAGGGGGATTTAATCCATCAGTTGGGGACAGAGGCAGGGGGTTTTAATCCCATTACTGGTAGGCAGA